TGGTGGTGAGTCTGGCCATGCTGTCCATCTGCTTGTCCCGTCATCACATGCCCCAGAATTTGGGCACATGTTGGGGCCTAAGGGGTAGAACGTAGGAAGAGTCGGCCGCGGGCCCTTCATCAAGAGAATGCTATTGGTGCCATCTGATCCTGCTCCCACCGGTCCTCCCTCCTGAACAGCGGGTGCCTCGTCTTGCTGATGGTCGGTCCAGCCGGCCGTGTTGGCAAAGACGAATGCAAACTGGTTGGTGCCGGGGACGCGGATAGCAGTGTCTCGACAAGTCCAAAGGGTGCGAAATCCCATCTTGACCGAGCCGCATGAATCACGGCTAAGGTCGGGATCCGTCACATTGGCAAGAATTGTTGCGCTCTTAGCCTGGGGCATATAATGCGGTATCAAGGTTGGCTTCTGCGAAATGACAAAGATCTCCTTGCTCTCATATCGAATGGGGGCCGCATCAGTGACGGAAGCGGCCAGGAGAACTGCCAGAAAGAGAAACATGTGCATCATTCGACGTTAAAAGTGTAGTACACAACGAATAACCGGTGCCACGGAAAGAATGAAAGGTGTATCACGAAAAAGAGTGACAAAAATGGGAAAAGGCGTCTTATCAAAGTCCAACGCCAAGGTTAAAAAGAGCGTAAACAAAGTTATAGACCACCCGAAAAGAACGTAAAATGGCGTCCTTGGAGTCCAGCCCCAAACTCTCCGTGGACTTGATGGCGCTCACCAAGAGAAAAGGTGCGAGGCCTGCCTTCAAAGGACAGGAGGAGAAAAAAACGGCATCGCCACTGATAGCGTTGAATATATGCCCGAGACAGCTCAGACCCTTGGCGCCTGTGGCACTTCGGCCCCTGTCATTCGTTGCCTTTCTTGGACTCTCGATAAGGCAGCGTCGCAATCCATCTGGAGACTCGTTTTAGTGACCCGAGCCGAGGCTCCTATGGCTCAAATGCTCGGAGATTCCAAGCCAATGGCTTGCTGCTAGAGCCAACGGCGAGATGCAGATAGTTTCAGGCATGGCCCACAAGCCGCGGCCATCCCACCCCGAGAGAGAACATTGAATGAATCAATTGCTCATCTGGCCTGTGAAGAGATAATCGAAGTGCCGAGCGGCTCGTCCAGGTGGGAATAATGGCGGTGCAGGGACGGAATACACGACCGACTTGGCAAAGACGAAGCCGATCTCCAGCTAGGCCACTAGCTTGAAACTACATGTATCATCTCGCCCTAGTAGGTTAGAGGTAATGACTACCTAGGATTTGACGTGGACAAACGAAGACAAAAGAGGTAGAGAAGAAGCATGGTAGGTAGATATTGAGGCCGGGCAAATATCCATTTAATATTTTATTTTCCGCAAGTGTGGCTCGTTGGAAGCGAGCTCGGCTTACGTAGGTCGTGAACATGCGGTTGGCACGTGCCTCATGTCGCTCACAAGCCTACCTAGTAAGCTACATAAATGGGCAGCCTCAGCATCGGACTCGGATTCACTATACGTGAAGGAAACAAATTATCACTAGACTGGCCAGAGGTTGGCTGGTCGACTCTTGGATGCGGAGAAGCTTGCCTTGCATATCATCTGGCGTTTCTATTGCTAAGGCCATGTCTTTAATAGATGAAAGGCGTGCCCCCTACAATACATGTACCTTCAGCATAGGGCAGACTGGTACCTATGCTTCGAAGCTCCGATTCCTTATACCAGGTCTATATCAATCTATAACTCGTAATATTTGACGCAGATGCAGTTCGTAGTCGTTTCAAGAAAGAACAACGAGCTGCCAAAATCAGAGCCCTTCTAACATGTCATGGGCCCTCCAGTGTTATAGACCCCGAAACAGTCAACAAACAAACCAAGGATCTTGTACTCGAAGTACAAAAGGATGCTGATTAAGCTCTTGATATCTTGAACACCCATGGAAAGGTTACTATTAAGGCCCACGAAAAGACCAACTGCTCGACTGAGATTATGATACCTTCCACAGAGCAGTGGCTCAAAGACGGATCAATTAATTTGAATGGCCTCCCAGCAGGTATTCCCGTTAGTCTCAAAGATACCGTTGATGTAGCAAGATGTGACAGCTCGGTTGTTTTTAGCAAGTTCGTTGGTGATGTAAAGGCAGGGGGCTGGGTAACAACGAAGTTGCCCAAGGACGCCGGAGCCGTGCCGTACGTCAAGACCAACACTCCCATTACGTTGCTAAACTTTGAGCCTAGCAAAGATGTTTGGGTCGATCTATCAATCCTTACAATAACAAATATGCGTCAGGTGGTTCTGCTAGTGGCGAAGGAGCGCTACTCGCCTCGGTGGATGAATTGGAATTGGAAACGATGTTGCGGGCAGTGTTCGATGTCCCGCTCACTATTCGGGAGCATACTCGCTCAAGTGCTCTACAGGCAGGTGAATGAAGCTGGGAGCAACTACATCGATGCCGAGCCAGGACGGCATCCCTTTGGTTTACTCCCCGATGACTCGAACGTTGGATGATCTATGTAACGTATTTCACACGGTCCATTATCTGGGTGAAGCCGTGGGCATATGACTATGTACTCAGTTCATCCTCTGTCATGGAGCTCTGAGAACGAACAGGAAATTCTGCAACACGGCAAACTCAGAGTCGGGGTCTTCGGGACAGATGGTGTCATAGACCATAGAGCTGCTTGCAAGAGAGCCCTTGAAATGGCTGAGGAGGCACTTTGTAATGCCGGCCACGAGATGGTTGAGATTAACCCTCCATCGTCATATGAGGCTCTGCAACTTGCATCCCACCTCCTCTGAAGTGATGGGCTGAAAACAGTCCACTCGTTTTTCCGCGGTGGAGAGTCTAATGGCCGCGGCGTTTCGTGGATGCGCTTCTACATGCAACTTCCTCAACCCATCAAGGACCTGCATTACCTTGGGGTGAAATACGTCCAGGGAGACTCTCTGTGGACGGACCTCCTGTACTGCTGGCACGCCAAGGACGTCTATGTGTATTGCAACTACTTGCCAAGCGAGAGGCATACAAGAGAACATGGTTCGAGTGGTGGGACGATGCCAAGTACTTTCAACATCAAGAGACTCGACGGGATTGCTCGAGGTGCCTACAAGCTATATAGTGCAGATGGTGATATGCATGATCTTCAGGTTAGTGTGCAGGTTGTTGGACAGCGGTTGGAGGAGGAGAAGCTGTTGGCGGCTACATATGAAGAGGCTGGAAGATGCACTGGGCAATGGCAAGTTTAAACTATTAAACCTTGATTGAATGTATACATGTATATTGTTGAATCATGAAATGTTGCTATGAACAGCTGTATTGGTTAGTCGGTGTGACGAGCTTATATGTTCCTCAACAACGCACTGTGTAATATGTAGAAGTACTTACCACCTGTATAAGCACGCGCCCCTCATGGAATTGTATTTTGCCTATACTACCTACGAGGTATCTAATGCAGTTATAGGTACTCTATAACTCTGTGATAATCGGGACGCACGTCTACCTAGCTTTGCGTTCTTCGGAATATTATAGGCGAGCTTCCACCGCCACCAGGATCATGCCATATGTACCAAATAGGAAACCTATCTTGCCTCCATATACAACCACGTGGAGCTCAAAGACCCTAACCTAGGGAAATAAACCACCAAGTATCGGCACTATGTAGGCTTTTTCAAGGCATCATGACTCGGAATTCCATCTGGCCGTCCAACCTCGGCTCGAGTATGCATGTCTTGATAGTGTTGACCTGTCCTCTCGGCGTCTCCGACTCAGGTAGCCACACTAGGTATTCATATGCATGTCGAGGGATATCGACACTCTTGAGGCTTAGTCTCTCGGTATGGACGAACCAATCACCCCATTAAATCTCTCGTCTGCCATCGGTACTCGTAAATGTGGCAGCTGTGATAGCAGGGGGACCCAGGAGCCTTGGGACAGAGTGAGCTGCTTCTTGTTCTATTATGCCGAGTAGTTTGTTCAGCTCGGAGTATCCCCGTAGTATACTTATGAAGTAGTGACCTATCAAATGTGAAATTGCACATTGTACATTTTTGTATCTCGTTGTTTCTTTTGGTGGCGGCTTTACATTGATAAGTGACGGATATGCATCCCGAAAATGACAAATTTGTAAGCATGTCACGGCTAGAAGGGAGCCCTGAATGCTCTAGATGCTTCCGAAGGATTCTCCGTAAGACGATATCTCCATGCACTCTCTACCGAAATGGGTTAACGAAATCCGATTTCATGAACGTGCATTTGTTGAAGACTCCCATGTTTGCAGGTTGGTGAGAGGCTAGTACTTGACGCCTCGCATACCAAACTTGCTAGTGAAACGGGTGGGATGCATTGAATAGGATGCATGGATAAAGTCTATTAAATGCTGCTCTTCTTTCATTACTTAAAAAATGATCATAGGCAGTTATTGTTGAGTTGAGTGCATCTCTTATCAGTGTTTCCAGAACCATCCATAGCAGCTACATCACTACAAGGTACATGTGTAGTGATGGTCCCTCTGCTTCACCTTCATACACACACTGAGCTACACATCTTCTACACTTATTAGCAAAAAAACAAAAAACCTACCTTTTCCCTCTGTATGCCTTCAAACACAAGTAACCAGCCCATATTCCAGAGGTTACACGATGCCAATCATCTGCCGCTCCGTCGGCACTGCTCATTCACCCAGCGCCCGGCTTAGTCATCTTGGGCCGCGTATACTTTGCGCCTTAGCTGTATGATTAGAAACCGTCGCATCCCAATCATGATATTGCACCTTTTGTCATCGGAGGGATAGAAACGCCCAAGTCTGAAACGAGGTGCCGCGACTCAAGGCATCCGTTTGTGACGTGGCGAGTGTCTAGAAGAATCTCTGACGCCTTGAAACCATGTAGACGCGGTTATTTTCTCTTCTTTTCTTTGCATTAGCCTGCAGGCGTCGTTTGATATCAACTTCCAGTGCGTCTGGTTTTGGATCACAGACACATCTTTATACTTGATACCTAGTAGTATACTACAAGGACTGTCAATATGCCGGAACATGACCCCTTGGTCCTATCATACACCCACCTCGCGCAGTTGCGCCGAGCTGGTGAGGCACTGACCATCTTGAAGAAAGTGGCCTCCCTTGTAAAGCCGATCATGCGCAGTCGTGGGTGGAAGGTTGGGGAGCTGGTTGAGTTCTATCCCAACCAGCACAATCTGCTTGGTGCGCATGCACTTGCCGATAACATGGTCGACTGGCTCACCGACTGACTGACCAACTACACTAGGGCTCAATGTTAATCGCGGGATGAGAATATGCCTGCGGTTACGCTATCCGCAGGACCAGAATCAGTTCCTCCCGACCGAAAGTATCGTTGACACGATGCTACATGAACTCTGTCACATTGTACACGGACCTCATGACGCCAAGTTTCATGCTCTCTGGGACCAACTGCGTGATGAATGGCAAGGGCTCCTTTTCAAGGGATACACGGGCGAAGGATTCTTGTCTGAGGGCCATCGGCTGGGCGGAAGACAGGCGCTGCCGACTCATGAAGTGCAGCGGCTTGCCCGTGCGGCCGCGGAAAAGCGAAAAGCTCACGAGCAGTTGTCTCGGGGGTCAGGGCAACGGCTTGGCGGAGGGGATATATCACGGCCGCCAAGGACAGGTAGAAACCTACGCCAAGCGGCGGCGGCGGCGGCCGAGAAGCGCACAAAAGCTCTCGAGGGCTGTGCAACGGACAAGCTGAGTGACAACGAGATTCGGATCATTGCAGACACGGCGTCGAAGAATGGGTTTCGTACGCGGGCAGAAGAGGACGAGGCCAACGATCTTGCCATTGCGCAGGCCCTATGGGAGATGGCCCAGGAAGACGAGATGGCTAATTCGGGTGGTTCATACGTGACCTCATCGCCTGCGGAAAAAATAATGACGAGCAACGGGAACAAGACGGTGTCATTTGACGGCTCACGGCCAAGGCCGGGCGTGGGGAGCAGCGGCGGCGGCAGCGGCAGCAACACTGGCACGATCACCAAGAGACCAGTGCCTCCTCGTCCCAGAGAGGAGCGATTCTGGATCTGCTCAGTATGCACCTTGCATAACCCGCAGGACTTCTTGTGCTGCGATGCCTGTGGGGTGGAGCGAGGCGAGGCAACACTACACGTACCGGTGACACCGAGACAGCCTGGGCCGAGGCCAGCTGTGATTGACCTAACAGACAGTCCGCCGAAGAAGAAGACGAAGGGTCGTGAGACACTGCAAACCGCCCAGAGGCCACCAGCATCGACGTCGGCGTCGTCGGGCGCCGTGTCGGCACCGGCCCCAGCTCCAGCTCCAGCAACGTGGCGCTGCGAATTTTGCACGACAGAAATGGACCGGCAGTGGTGGACCTGCTCTACCTGCGGACAGATGAAGTTCAATTCACGATAGGCTGGGCAGAGCATGGCGCGATGCCGCTGACACTGCTTCTGGCTAGGCAAGCCGACGCCGAACCAGAGAAATGTACTTGGGGAGAATGCGGTGAAGTTGCCCGTCAACCGTGTCTTCGAGGGGGCCCATAAAAAACTGCTGGATGCAAATTTGTTTGCTGCATGGGATGGGAAAGCTTTACGAGCAGTACGGAACACCAAGTACTTACTCCGTACATCCTCCCACTACTGTACGAGTCCTGGACTTGCAGGAGCCCTCCAAGACAAAAAACCAGGGTCTCTCTCTGGTGTGGTCTTTTTTCTGGAGCCGGGTGGTATTAGGAAAAGCGCCGATTGGGAAATGGAGTTAAGATCGGCTTGGTGGAGCTTTCGAGACATGAAGCCTTTGGATGCGATTTGCTGTCTAAGTCGAGCTATGGACGGTGTTTGGAATTTTGGGGGCAGGCAAAGGAGAGCGAGCAAAGTGCAGTATTTTTTTTCATGCGGGCTTATATGTACGAGTTGCATACGCCTCTAGGCCAATCTGTTTATGAATGATTTTGTTCTAAACTGCAAGCTGCATTAATGGGGTACGAGAGATGGCCGAAGCGACGAGTGGGAGATGGGCGTTGGTCCTTGTCTTGGTGCTGGCTGATAGGATAGCCTTTGCTGTAGTCGGAGAAATGAATTGTGAAGTGTCGCATCTCGGAAAAATGTACAAGAGGGTACGCGGCATGTACAAGTAAGACAGAGTCCAAGGTCGAACGAAAGAGCTGAGGTCTGATGGGCGCCGGATACCGGTACACGTATTCGGTGCTAGCAGCTTTCTGATCCCTGGACGCCATGCCACGACTACAGCTGCTAGTTATTCCGGTTGTTTGTAGATGGCCCGTTATCAGTTGAGGCTTTACTTACTCGTACACTTTGAAGGTACTGCAAAGGTAGCGATAACAACGATGCCAACACTCTGTCTCAGGCCATCTCGCTCGATCCGGGTCAGTCACCAGACGCCCAGTCGCCCATCTCCACCAGCCGGCCAGCTCTAGAAGCAGCGCAGCAGCCCTCCATACTTTCTGGTCCAACGACTCCATAACCCGAAGCCGTGTTCTAGACAACGGGTGGATCCGAGCTTTGCTCAGCATCGGGAGGACCCTGGTCTGCAAACAGGGTTAGCAGGGGTTGCGAACGAGGCTTGTCATGCAGCCAAAGAGGCCGGGTCCCTGCAAGGCCAGAGGGACGAAAGAACAGCCACGAGAGAGAGAGGAACAAAAGAGAAGAACAGAAAATAAAAAAAAGAGGTGCTGGGCGTAAAAAAAGCAAATAAAAGCAAAAAATCAAAAATAAATAAATAGATAAAAATCCATTGATGGCCCAACTCTGGCAAATTCGCCGTGTCTGATTGGATGCAGGGGCAGAAACACACATTGGCCTCCTCCTTTTCTCAGCTGTGTGATCCTTGCTTGGATCGCTCTCATTCGCCGAGCCTTGCTGCTTTTTTTTTTTCCATTTTCTCGTCTTTGCTTTGCTTTGCCTTTGCTTGATCTGACAAGAGGGGGCTTGGCGACACAACAGGCACAAGTCAAAGTCGAGGCGCCTGTTTTATTTTTGGTGCTACTACTGGTAGCTTTCACCTAAGCCCTGCGGATTGTGCGGCACTGGTGCTCGGCCTTGCGCCCGTTGCAAGAGCGACAAAAGGCGCGAAGGAGGATTGAGGAACGAGGGAGCGACGGCGCGGTAGCCATTGATCGACGTTAACCTTGGGGGGGCCTTGAAAGTCGACTCTCGTCCTTGGATTATTTCCTGCTTTCTGCTTTGCATGGGCCCAGAAACGCTGCAAGATCAGCGTCTCCGCATCTTGCTGGGCTGTCGGGTCGGGTCAGGTCAGGTTCTGGCAGCTTTCCCGGCCTTGGGCGTCTCAGCAGAAGAGTCCATTTTAGCTGCAGTAGTGATTTGCATCAATGTCGCAGACCCAAACTCGAGCTGGGCCTTGTACCGAGCCGGACCTGGTTCAAGCCAGTCAGATCGGATGGTGGGAGCGGCCGCATTAGCAGCCAGAACGTGAGAATGTGATAGGGCGGCAATTGCAGGCCTAGACTTGTCCGGTGCCTTTTTTCCTTTGCCCGTCCACGCATCCAGCTCGTTGCCCTAGCCGGGTCCCATGGGAAACTCAAAAATCGCAGAGGTGGAAATGCGGCATGTACCAAGCACGGAACGGACAAAGAAGACGCTGGACTGGCAAGGCCCGATAGCAGAGACAACCCCCATCTGGGCTCATCGTGGAAGCGTTCATGCTCGCTAGACTCGTGGAGTTAGCCCCAGAGCGCCACCGCTGATCTTTGTCGAGTCCTTGCAGCAAGCTTTCTGGGCAGCTTGATTTCGGATTTTGCCACCGCAGCTTGACAGGCGGACTTTTGGAGTCGTGCCACTTCCAAGGCCCACCGGCGGCCTGTTTTTTTTTTGTGCTCTTATTCCCACAAACCTGCTGCCCTGACAGATCGGAGTACTAGTTAGTAGTGCCCTCACAGCAGAGCGAAGGGGGAAAAAGGGCGACGGGATGGGATGCCTCGCAGCACGAATGGGTCACCGGGCAATCCATAGATACGAGCAGGGACAATGTTAGTGTGCCCGCACCATGGCTAGACAAGCTAAAGTGAGAAGCACGGAGCGCCCAGCAAAACAACAAAGGCCGGTGCGATGCATCTTCCGGGTTCTCGTCTTGGTCGCCCTCTGGCTGTGGGCGGGACGGCGTCTCACCTTGGCGGGCACATGGACAGACACCGGATTTGCGGTCTGGACGAGGCAACGCACGAAGTTACCAAGGTGCCTATGTACGAGTACAAACACTCCGTACATGTTTGAATGAATGAGTGAGTGCTTGTGTACGGAGCACGGGTACAGGAACAGGTACAGGTACAGGTACAGGTGCTGGGATTGATGCTATACTCGTATGTGACTGGTCCCGACTCGTACCTTGGTGATTGGACACTGAGGCTGCATGCTTTGCTCCATGGTCCACACCCTGTGCGTTGCTGTGTGTTTGCATGCGGCTGGCTTTCTCCCATCACGTCCAGTCCATGTATGTACGAGCATGTACCGATTCCTACCTATTCATGTGTCAGTTGGCCCGCGTCGCCCGCCAGCCAGCCCGAAGCAAAACGCCCAGGGCAGCGGCGGGTTTCTCATTCGCCCAATGGGTAAATCAAAAGGCCTTTTTGCCGGGGCATGTACCAAGTAAGTAAGACGGATTGATTGCTCAAGGCAGGGAGAGATGAAGGTGCTAGTATAGTAGCAATACGATACGATGCGTGTGTAGAGTAGATGGACAAGGTCTAGGAATGCGGCTGCCCGGCATGAATCTGGCTGGTCTGTCTGAGGGAGCAACTTGTTGAAATCAGACAGACGTCTCAGCTCACCCAGGTCAATGGCACATTGCATCAAAGCCCGGTTCGGTACTGCACATGGATGGACTTGGCATCGGATGCTCTTTCATAGCACTGCCTCCCCTGGCACGGTCAACCAGAGGGCGTCCATGTCAGCTACCTACCTTAGTAAGTACTGTGCTGTACAAGTCGTGTATGTACTGCCCGAGGTTGTGCATTGGATGTACTCGCATGTATGTCCCGTGGCCAAGAGCCGCACCGGAGTTGAGGCTGCAAGCAAGGTACATCTAATTACAGGTATTGTACCATTGAAGGTATAGGACATCCAATGCTATCGAAAACCCAGAACAAAGGCACACTGCAGGCCAAAACTTGGCTCTTGAATCGCCTCACTCTCACTCTTCTCACCTCTCTTCACCTCACCTCTCACATCACATCACACCCCCCCCCC